GGTCACTATGAGGCAGAATCAACTTGTTGGCACCTAACAACAACAATCCAATTTATTAAATTAATAAATTCCTAGTATAGTAGTGTATTATTATTATTATTCCTGTGTTATTCCTAGTATAATAGTGATGAAGTAATAAAAATTGGTGACTACTCATCGGCAGTGAGTTTGGAGTTTGGGTTTTTTGGTTTTATTGTTCTAGGTAATACATTTCAATAAGGTTTAAATTTTGTAAAGTTATCAATATTCTTTTTGTAATTTAAAAATAAAGGTAATCAAATTAAAAAAGATACTGATTTTTTTTTTTTTTTTCTAAGACACAGGTAAGACTCAACTACCTGAAATTTCCAGGTACACTTGCATTTCGGAGGATAGTGACTCGGGTAATATGGACTTGAAATTTTCCCTTCAAATCCAGTGATTTCTTTGACCAACACTGTGTTTTCACATTCTGAAAAAAATATCCAGTAACACACAATGATTTGCTGTTGTGAGATTATGACAAATACGCAACACATATCTTCATCTACAAACATATACTTCCTTGATCAACATACTTATATATTTTTCTGAACTTTAATTTCTTTTAAAGAAATAGCACTGTTATGTGTCCCAAAATGCATTTTGAAGTCTTAACCCCTGTACCTGTAAATATAATCCTATTTGGAAGTAGAGTTTTGTTTTTGTTATATATATGAAGTCATACACAAGTAGAAAATCAAAAACCAAACCCACTGCCACTGAGTTGATTCTGACTCATAGTGACCCTGTAGGACAGAGAAAAACTGCCTCATAGAGTTTCCAAGGCTGTAAATCTTTACAAGGGAGCTCTGGTAGCATAGTGCCTAAGGCACTTGACTGCTAACCAGAAGGCTGGCGGTAAACCCGTATGAGTCGGGTCCGACTCGGCGGCACATAACAACAACAACAACACAAATCTTTACAAAAGCAGACTGTATTTTTTCATCTTTCTACCACAGGTGGCTGGAGAGTTCAAACTACCTACATTTTGATTAACAGCCAAATAATTAACCTCTATGC